CACATGTGCCAAAGATACATAGATATACCGACACACCCACGCAAACAGGAATGGCAAATATATGCTTTGCGACTTTTAGGAGCAGGTCCTCGCTTCTCATTTGTGTGTGTGCTGTCAATATTTTATAAAGTCATGTGGCAAATTATGGTCTCTGCGAGTATGCCGATGCTACAGCCGTATACTAGTTAAATTTATTTACTTGCCATTTGTTCGATTATCCCAGCGACAGTCGTTGTTCTTGAAACTCATTCGGTTTTCGAGATAAAAGAACATTTATGCGCTTAATTGAATGCCATGTAATGTAAATGAATCTATGGGAAAATGAAGTGCTTTAATTAATTTGTTACTGACTTATAATTTATACGCACTGAACATTGCTCATACGCCCCGTGGTGCAGGCTCTCTTGCGCTTTTGCATTCGAGAGTTTTAATTGCACATTTTTCAATTAAAAACTATGTGAGAGGGTGCATTCGGCTTGGGGGCGTGAGGTTGCAGATTTGTTTATACGATTGCATTGTTTAATTGAATTTACTGTAACAAATGAGAGGCCAAAGGCAGCGGCGAAAAACCAAACCAAACAACAGCATCAAAAGTTCACAAGTGCAATTAATTTTGGGCTGTGTGTTTTTATTCTGTTTCGTTTTTGTTTCGCGAGGCGCACAGCTCGATTTCAGCTTTTTGCTCATTTCTGCTTTCGGATTTTATTCTCATTAAATTTAGCCAGCTATAAATCAGCAGAAAACGGTGACAATTTAAATGATTCTTTTTATGCCGGTATTTATTTACTTGAGTAAAAACGTGATATGCCAACTGAAGTGCTGGCAAAAGTAGTAACAAAATATATGGTAAACTGTAAACATTTGGAAATTGTGTGTGAGTTTTCTTTGAAAATATTTATCTTTTAAAACTTCTGGTAAATATTTGAATTTAAAATTTCCGAATTTGAAGACCGCAAAATTAATTGATATATAATAATTAATCCGCATGTTTTGCTTATTTTTCGAGACATTTAAAGTCCTTGTGGCTTAAACTTTGACCCAACAACTAAGGATGCCTCAATTCCACTTTGATTCAAGCTTCACAAACTCGACAAAAAAGTAAAACGCTCTTAAAGTTACCAGTGGCAACTTTTCTCGTTCATTTTCCTCTGGCAAAAGTTTGTTTTTGTTAGAATAGTTTTGCTTCCGCTTGTGTCTATCATTCAGCTGCTGTTGTTTCATCTGTCTGCTTCTTTGCATTACATATTCCTTGGCTGCCGGAGGAGCCAGGATCTGTGCTTCCGCCCAAAACTCCTCCCTTTTGCCATTCTGCCATACTGCTATTTTATGGCAGTTTCGAACAGGAAATGTTAAGCACGGAAATCATGCGCGCCCGACTATGACAACGACATCGAAATGCTTTTTCTTCAGCTCTTCTGCCTTTGTGCATTTTCCTGTTATCTGACTGGCTTTGTCTCGGCATGCCGGCAATGTTAAATTGGAAAAGTCGGCAATAATTTAAACCAAGAACATTGAAATTTTGCTTACATAAGATTGGGGTTCAACCTGTCAGCATGAATACTTTTTAGAATTTTCACAGCGATGAATATCAGTTTGGTCTTCCTATTTTTAACTTTTTTGCTTTTGATACCAAATCTGTTTGGTTTCAGCTGGTCATGATGGGAACTTTATATCTTAAAAAGCTTGTGAAAAGTTGTTCGTTCACTCAAACCATGTATCCATTTCCTAATTTCTTACAGACTGCATGTACTTTTATAAGTTTCATACAACTTCTCCATTTTTCTCGCCTTCATAAACATTCTCTAGCTATCTTAAGTCAATATAAATCATTAGGAATTTGACAAAAAAAAATGTAGTTCAAAACCAATTTTCTTGCTCTTAAGCCTGTTAGATAAATTTAAGAATTTCAACAGCTATTTCAAGCAAATAACTTTTCCCTTCCATTTAGTTCGCAATATTCATTTTCATGGCAAAAGTGTGCACTTCTCAACGCGTTGTTAGAATATTAAATTATTTAAAAAAGAGCAAATAAAATCTGCTTTCTATTCAGTCTGTCAGGAAGCATAATTTTCAGAATTTTCTCAGCCACCGCATGGCAGTTCTTTCATCAAGCTCTCAGAACTTCTGCTATTGGCACTTTAATGGATACACATGAAAGGAAGTGAGCTGTGCCAGAAGTGGGTGCAATGATTGGGTGGAATAGGGCACGCAGAGGCAGCAGATGTTGCAAGGAAGTGCGGTTGCAAGACGTCGCTTTTGTGTTGTTTTGTGGCTTTTCCCAGCGACACGAAAATGGCGTCAGCTGCAATAGAGCAACTTCCTAGACCCCCGAGCTAAAGCTAAATAATCGGAATTGAGATTTTGTGAAACAAATGCTGATTGCCCAAACCCTAATATGCCTTGCGTGAGTCTTTAATTTGTGCAATTTCCTCGGAATACTAGGCCTTAAAGGCAGTCATTAGCGAAGCTTGCTATCCGTCTCCCCGGATTGGGTGTTAGCTTTAAAAGTTTTCTGTTTGGCCGGGTACGGGGCGTATACGTAATGCACTTCTAGCTTTCCTCATTCCACACACATGTATCTTGTTTATTTAATATTATACCATCTCCGCCTCTGTCTTGTCTAGACTTTCGAGTGCTACTCGTTCAACCGCCTACCTCCCCCTAACTGGGCGTGGCGGCTGAAAGGGTTTCGAGGATTCGCGTGGTATCTGTTGGATGTGCAATGCAAAATCTCATTTTCGAGGCTCAATTCCAGCGGGGAGGGTCCCGTTTAAATTGCAACTTGACTCGCTGCAATTCTTTTCAGGTGCCAGGTGAGACTGACTGCCTTATGTCACGTACTTGATTGCGATTCTATTGGCCCGGCATTGGTTATTGATGCACCGGTCCTTTACTTTGACTCTTGGCTATGCTTCTGCCAAGAATCGATACTCTGTATTGGCAAACTTTGCTGCTTTTGAAAGCAATCCTCAACAAATAAATAAAATAAAATTGATGCTGTAAAATAAATAGAACAGGACTAATGAGGAGAACACTTTGTAACATTAATGTCTGCATTATCTGGGTAGTAAGAGGTGTCAGCTAAAAGTTGAAGTAAATCGTAAATTCAAAATAAACCATATCGCTTGATTTATGTATACGCAGAAACAAATGCTTAGTCCTGAAATGTTTAGCTTCCGTTTAACTATAAAAATGTTTGTCTGAAAAATATATCTATGTTTCCATTTAAACAAATTAATGAAACTTATTAGCCTTGGAGCTTTATCACATACAAACAGCTTGCACTAAGTACATACAAAGTAGAGTGGGGCTACTTAACCGATATATAATATTTGTGTGTTCTCTTAACTTATTATAATCTTATTAAACAAGCAAAGTGTGCTAGATGGAATTTTCATTTTGATGTGAGATTAGGCTTAAGTATGGGCTCTAGAACTTTTGTTAGCCATCCTTGTTAGCCATCCAACCATGATGTCAGTCGGTATTGTTGGAGTCTTTATTTGGATTTAGGGGCTTGAAATTACTGCAGGCTGGGCTTAAAGCTTGACTTAGCCCCGACTTAATTGAGATTCCACCTTATGGCGCAAAACTGATTAATTTGTCACTCGTGTGTGTCCTTTGACTTGGCTTGCTGCAGGATTGCAGGCAGTCTTGAACGGAGAAGCAAGGACTTAAGCCGATTATGCGGTGTGGCTGTGTTAATCCTCTCGCTGCCCTTCTGCTGGACATGAGATATTGTCTTGCCTCTCATCCGTTCTCTCTTTTGGCCAAGTCAACCCTTTATTGAAGCTAATTAGACAGAGAATGGTGTTGCCGTCGCATTCTCACTCTCGCCATTTCCCCACGCTCCCTTGTTAAATATGACAAATATCACACATACGCTCCGTTGGTGGCCGGCAGTAGTCAGCAGTTGATAAATCTTTCTCAAGTTGTTTGTGTTTGTCCAGTGACGTCAGCAAATGCGTGTTATTTGCTTTTTTGATTCCCTCTTCATACTTTTAGCTGTGATTACACAACTTTTTACTGTCATCGTGCAAAGCGGATCACCGTTGAAACTTGATAAATGAATCGATAACTTGTGTCCCTGACTTTACTTGGCTTCCTCCTTTCTTCTGTAATCGATGGAAAACCTGTCAGCCAACTGGTAGTTATGTCATGAGCAGTCTGCAATTACAATTAAATTTCCCCTTAAGTATGTGGGTGTAGGCGCACCATGAACATGGCGTAGCACAATTTTCAGGGCAACCTGAGTGTCTTCATATAATTCATATGCATAAGCATATGTACATATGTATGTGCATTTGCTTGTGTGACCACTTGGCCAGGCTTAACCCCGAAGTAAGTGGCCGCATGCCTCGAGTATTGTTGGCGGGTCGCGAGTCTAATTAGCCGCTTACACACACGCACACAGCGACAGACAGCCAATTAAAATTCCCTTTTAGCCAACCGCTGCTGATGGCCAAAAGGTAGTTAACTTAAATTAAGACCCGAGTCTAACAACAATTTATTGAGGTATGAAGGGGTCCAGGTAGTTAAATAAGCTTAGAAAAGTTTTAAATGATCATTTTATACCACAGACCCAATTTTTGGTCTTTGGTTAGCTTTGAATAATAATAATATACATTGTGTTTTTTTTAATTCAGATATATTTATTATTATCAGAAACTAATGGGGAACTCGTTATTTGATATATCTTTAAAATAATGTATAATTATAAATTGATTTATAAGTTCTAAATTCTCTCATCATCGTAACACTTAAATTATAGTGCTACTTATATAATATTTAGCATTATTAACACCTATCTAGTTCAATCTTTTTAACGCGCAGTCGTGTCAATTTAATTTCCTGTCGCGCATTAATTTATTTTCCAAACTCTCAGTCTCACTACAAACTAATTTAAAATATTACATTATTCAACAATTTAATACATTAAAATGCAAATATCATTAAACATTTAATTTTTAAATAACGAATTTAAATTATTCGTTTTTTTTCAGGTTCACCCAGGAATTCAGGGATTCTAGTGCATTTGCTGGCCATTTGAATTATGGTAAGTGTTGCTTTGGTTTGGTTTATATATTGATCGCCGGCGGTAATTGACTGAAATAATTCAGTGTTTTTGCCGCTCGTTCATTTCGGCTCTTCATTAATTCCGTTTTGGCCAATTGACGTATGTCAATTAGTTTCCCTGCTGTTGCGATGATGAAACAAAACCCCATTTGTTGTTTGGGATTTGCGACTTGATTGCCTGATTGCGGTGTTGGAGATGAAGTTTCATTGCATGTCATGATTGGATGATTCGACAGTTTCTCGTAGATATAATTAGCACCGGATGCAGGGTGAACGAGGTGCAGATTTAGTATGGAAAACAATTGCCCTCCTCTGCATCGTTGCTTTCATCAATCTTCGTTTGGCATTGACTTCCACTTTCCCCTCCGCTTAAATGGCGTTAAATGTAAATGTACAAAAGACAAATTTCGTAAATTCACAATGTGCGCCGAAGGCGATTAATTTTGCCGGGAGACATGCCACTTGCCGCAGCCCGAAATTCAGGCAGTCAGTGTCAGCCGGGCGGCAAATGTGTCTTGTAGACGTCCGCCCCTGCACCTCCCCGCCACCTTGCGCCCCACCTCACCCTCGCCCTCGCCCTTTGACCTCGCCCTTTTGTGGCAACGCTTATGTGGGCGTGGGCAAGCAATTTATCTTTCACTTTTTTCAGCGCTGCAGCTTGTGGCTTCTCCATTTCGTTCCACTTTCTCAGCATGGAAAAGAAAATTACAGAACAAATTTCTGCATCAGTATCATAATTAGTAGTGCATTGATAAATTATCATTTTTTACATTACAACAATAAAGCGATAAAGTAAAAATGCTTAGAATTTTAAATATCAACGAAATTAAACTTAAATTTATGATTTTTTATTTGGTATTCTTTATTCTGACAATTAGTTTTCTTTTAACGTTGTGCTGCTATTATTCATTATACATCGAATACGGAATTAAAGGCCAACTGTGAAGATATGTCCTTTTTTCTTTGCGTGTCTTTCCGTTTCTCAGTTGAGCTCGGCAATTATGCGTAATTCGCATTTTTTCGTTGCATACTTCGGTGCGTTGTGCTGATGCGGGATGATGTGGGCTCAGGGACGCTGAAGGTGGAGGACTTTGGAGGGCGATGGCTAGGGAAAGGCATGCCAAAAATTAATACAGCCACATACCTCGAATGGCGAACTGGCATGTGCAGCTTAAGCCAGCTGCGGCTTCTGTTTCCACCGGCACCGTAATTAAGTTGAAATTAATGGAAAATTGCTGCACTTTACCGCAGAGTTCAGCGAAACAGTATGGCCAAGATGAAGGCACACAGTGTGGCTAAAATTACGAACGTAAGATATGCGAACGTAACTTTTATCAGGATGGTGATTCAGAAATTTTTCTTCTTTTGTTAAATTATTTTTGCCGCGTGTGCTTTAAAAGTTTATCCAATGAAAAATTGTTTATCCAATTTTAAATGCAACTAAAAGCAAATGATTTCCGTACTTCGTTTTATCTAAATTACCAAAAATTGAATTTTTCCCTTTATTATTTATCAATTTGCTGGCCATGGGGAATATTTTCGGGCACACTGGCAGTGGCACCTGACCAGGCTCAAAGTGGAAAATAACTTAATTGACTGGATGGATGCTGTGGATGCTGTGGAGAGGAGCAAATGGGCTGGTATCCTCCAGAGACATCTCATCTGCCCACATTTATTCCCTCTTTTCTCTTGTATTCTGTTCGCGGGGCGAGGAGTTTGCGAATTTAAATGGGTTTCCTTGTTGTTGTATTGGCATCGCAATGCAAATTTCTTTTCGATAGAGGATCTGGTTGCGAGTCGAACAATTTGCCGATTAATTGCCATTAAATTGGCCTGGTATAGTTGAAAATTTAAGGGATTAGCGACCGTGGTTATTCACATGAAAACCATTGCAAATGGCAAAGGGCCCCGGGAGATTTTCTGGCCATGATGGATGCGAAAGCTCAATCAAATTGGATGCTCAAATGGGAAAGCAACATTGAAAGCCACTCAATATAGCTATCCATTCAGGCTTATAATCATATAATCAAATGTTGTTCAGTGAGGCTTATAATGAAATAATCAAATATTATTCATTCACATTTGTATGAAATTCTCAGGACACCGACGTCATTTTAGTTGTGATCCATCGATTAGCTAGAATCATTCGTTCGTTTATGTTGCTTCCCAACAGTCACAAAGAAAAACGTATTTTTGGGCAGAATAAAATCCAAAGGGAAATCCCTGCACAATAGCAAATGCTATTCTAATCAGAATGCAGCAACTCCGATTCCCTTTCGGCCAATTGCCATAAATCCAATAAAGCCATAAATGCAAATGCAGGTGCAGCTGCCAGCAATTGCATGAAATTGGGAAGGTAGCTGCTGTTTTTAAAAGGAACACTCTTTGAATGAAAGGGTACATTGGTTTTTAAAGTGTGATTAAACCTATAATAATATAATAAAAAGAAAAATCAAAAATAATCAAAAGAAAAATTATTATATATACATAATACATAAGGCTTAAATACGGTTTTCGAAATTTCGACATTTAAGCAATAACGTGTTTTAGTTGAGCTAGCTGTGCCGAACATTTCTGTTTGTATTTTTTTGGGTTACTTATCAGATTCTAAAAGAGAGCTGTTGAAAAATCTCTATTATTTATAGCTTGATTACCAGCCACAAATCATCCTATCAGAACTTGAAGAAATCCTAGGATAGCCAATTGAATTGAACAAAACTAATTGCTAATTTGTTTTACCATAACAGGCCTTTGTCAACATGACGGTGCCGTCGCCAGCCACGGTTAAGCTGAGCAGATTCTTCATTACAAGCCCGCTGATCGATAGCAATCTGGGCCAGAATGCGGCCACCAATGGCGATGCCATCGATGCCAGCGTCGACGGGATTGCAGCCGACTGAAGTGCATCCGGTGCAACAGGTGCATGTGCATGCCACGCCCTCCAATCCGCAGGAGATTCACCAGGACCGAAGTCCACACAACCACCACGTCAAACTGCCACCGCTGGAACTGCTGGTGGAGAACAAGATCAGCTACAGCAGCTACCAGCAGCACAATCAAAACCGCTCCAAGCGAAGTTCCCTGAGCAGTCCCTCGTCCAGTGAGGATTGTGTCAGTGCTGCCAGGGCAAGCATTTTTGATGACGCCGCCGAGAGTTTTGTGATCAATTTCCCCTCGGAATCGGCATCCTCGCAGCACCTGCTGCCCTTGTCAGAGACGGTGCCGTTGCTCACCCACATCGAGGCCACGGTGGTGGATAAGCAGCGTTCCATAAGGCTGAACAAGAATAGTGCCTCGCTGATATTTACCAAGAAGGAACTAAACCAGGGAAACCATCAACATCAGCATCACCATCATCATCATCATCATCATCATCAGCAGCAACAGCAGCAAAGGCGGCAGCACCACAGCAGTCTATACGGAGTGGGTAGGAAGCCCACCAAGCACCTGCCACCCACCAGGGGTCAACATCAGCGTCGAAGCCTACCGCTCAGCTATAACAACAATCTGGTGACCACAGCTCCAACAGGAGGAGGGGGAGGCGGAGCAGGAGCCGGTGGGGCAGCCAAGCTAGTGCCGCTCAAGCAGCAGCAGCACCAGCACCACGGAGCAGGTCACACGGCACCACCCACGGCCAACGTCGTTGTTGCTGCTGGAGCGGGGGCTGCGGCTCCGTCCGCCCGCAAGCAGCTCTCCTACTCCTGGTACGCGCCCGTCTACAGTGCCCTCGAGGAGGAGCTGGAGCAGGACTCGCGGGTGGGTGACCATTACTTTTTACACATTTAAAACTTTTAACAATAATGTATTTTATATTTTCATAATTAAATGTTTAATTTTAAAATAACTTAATGCTCTAATATATTCAAAGCAGTTTAATTTAGCTTACTTCACATTACTTATTTAAATAAAATTTGTTTACTAAATTTAAAAACATAAATCCTATTTCATACTCAAATTTCTCTAATCGTGCATGTCATTACCTGTTTGCAGGAGACCTTAAAAATAAATGCAAAATATTTAAATTTAAAAGCTTGTTTTGTTCATTATAATATAGCTATTATTAAATTAGTTTTTCTACATATTGGAAAGTAATTTAAATACAATTACTTGAAATAATATAACTGTATAATAATATGATATAAAAGCTTCAAAAATATCGAAATCATTAACTCAGTTTCCTAATGCTTAACCCCGCAGGACTCCTCGCCAATCCACAATCTGGCCAACACAAAGCAGCACCAGCGCTCCGCCAGCCAAAAGGCCACCACCGTCCTGCATGCCACGCCCCGCCACGATCACGCCCTCGATTCTGCCGACGCCGAGACGGTTGCGCTGCTGGACACGCAGGCGCGCAGCAAGGTCATCATTTCCTCGGCGAATGGTGACGCTGGCGGAGCAGGGGCTGGAGGTGGATTTGGTGGAGGCGGCGGAGGATCTGGCATCGGCGGAGCTCTGGCTGCGAATGGAGGTGATCTGGAGAGCTCGCTGGGACTTTCCGGCGGTGGGCAGTTGCCGCGAAGGCGTCGCTTCGAGAACTTTCTCAAATCGCTGGTGGGACTCAAGGCGAGCAGCAGTCGCGGCGGAGGAGGTGGAGGCGGATCAGGAGGAGGAGGAGGAGTTGTCGGTGGAGGCGGAGGCGCAGCTGAGCGAGAACGACCCGCCTCCCCTGAGATACGTATCACCCGCACTCCCTCCGAGCAGGATGTGGTGCTGCGGGATCCCTCTGGCCGGCAGCTAGCCAACGGCCAAGGACATGCCAGCCTGAGCATCAGCGGTTCGAGCAGCTCCTTGAATGTGGTCCAGCAGAAGATATGGCACCTCATGCGACGCGAGGGCAGCGCCAGCAGCCTGCACCAGGAGAAGTCCCAGTCGATTGTCCAGTACACGGGACTGCGCAAGTGCGAAACAGTCCTGGCCCTCACCCGTCAATCGCAGTCGCACGGCCAAGTGCATGGCTTGAGCCAGAGCCGGAGTCAGGGACACTCGTTGGCTGTCCATGGCAGCGGGATATTCAGTTCGAGTGGAGTGGAGCAGATCCGACCACTGAACCGCCTGCGTAACTCTGTGAGCAGCATTAATGGGGTGGGCACCTGTTCACGTTGCTCCAGCTTGTTATCCCTGGCTGCCTCCGGCTCGCGTTACTCCCTGGCCAATGGTTTTGTGCCACGGCCGAACTCGGCCGTGGAAGGAGAGGAGCAGCGGCGGACGCAGGAGCCGCACATCAATGTGAATGCCCAGATCAGACTAAGCGGTGGAGCAACTGCCAACGCGACCAGTCCCAGTCCGCCGTCCAATGTGACCACGGCCACGCTGCACTCGAGTTCCGCCAATAATCTGAATGTAAATCAGGAGGACCAGCCGCCCACGTCCACGCCCACGCCCGCCACCACGCCTTGTGAAGCACCCGGAGGCGGCGGAGGCGGCGAATTGGGACCCTTTGGAACCAATCACGCTTATCCACTGACCGTGAGCTCCCTGCTCTCCATGGCCAGTGCGAATCAAGCGGCCCAGGCTTGCTGCGTCCGGGATGGGATTGCGTTGAAGCGCCGTGAGATGCTCGGCTCTGCCGATGCTACGCCCTCGGTGGGCACTCCGGCCACGCCCACCACCACCACGTTCCAGCCCTTCACCTGCAAGCTGTGCCTCATCGATGTGGAGGATGTGGGCGAAGCCATGGCGCTGCAACAGTGCGGCTGCCAGTTCTGCATCGAGGTGAGTGCCATTTCCAATTTCTTATTCAAATAAAATACAAGAAATATAGTGTCTTTAAATCGCATTTATTATGTTCTGAGTTCGACAAAAAAATATTCATTTCAGAACACAAATAAAAACTTTCAAATACTTTATTCAAATGTTTAGAATTGAGCTGTCATCAGCTGATTATATAACTCACACCAATGAGTATATAATATAAAAAACTTAACAAAACAATAAGACATCTGTTCTAAGTCGAACTCCAACTGCTATAAAAACTCTATCTGTTTTAAACCACAAAACTTAGAAACAGCAAACATCATGTATATATGTGGTATTTAAACAATTGAACAAGTTGGCAAACAGAGGATTAGCACTGTTTGAAAAAATTAAAAAGCTGTCATGATAACTTTACTGTTGAACAAAATTTATGCCACAAAAGGTTAGCTGCTGAAAATATAGTTTGCAACTTTAAAACATCAAGACATCAATAATAAAAAACCAGTTGAAGAATCTAACTGATTCCAATTATGCACTTCATAAATATGATAGCAAATAAATTTCTTTACTTTATTAGGCCAGTCAAAAATTTCTATCTTTGCCAATGCTGATGATGATTTTTATTCGATAATAATTTCCATTTGTCTTTGCGGCTTTAGATAAAATTGTGATTTTATTGGGGAAATTCCTCTAAGCCGCAGAAAGATTTTCCTTGTGGTTTTTCCTTACTTCTCCCTATTGATTGGTTCCCCGCACACACACTCACAGTAAGCTGCATATGTTAGCTTTCTTATTAGGAATTTTTCCCCCATTTTTCTCCGCCAGTTTTTCCGCTCCTTTTCCTCTTTTTCCAGGTGCACCAATGGGGAAAATTGAAAAATGACGCACAGGCAGACGCAATATTTTGCAAGTGTTAGGACCGAGTTTCTGGCTGGCAGCTTAACCCAAAGCTGAATGTTGGGCATAAATAATCAGAAAAGCCAAATGTATTTTCTGATATTTGATAACTTTACGTTTATAGATTAAGTTCGCACATGTTGCGGTGGGTTCTGTTTAAACTTTTCTATACATTTAGGTTAATATTGGGAGGGCAATTTGAAACATTTGCCCGCAGCTTAAATTCGGCTTACTAAACGTATTCACTTTTGTATTTACTTTTAATGCTATGGGATTATGGAAAATGGTAGGAATTTAATTCTATTAGAGGTAAAGCTGTTTCTGTTCCTGTTTTAATAGTTCAACACAAGTGTATTTGTGTTTTTCATGTAAAATTATTTAAAGCTTTGACATGTTATGTTCATGCTCATTGAATTGAATGATTTGCTGTAAATTATATGAACACTTATTTAATATCTTATCAAACGTTCTATCTTATCTGCATATTGATTACTTGTAATTTCAAACAACACCACACTTATATACCTTGTTGGAACTACAGAGAAAACTACACTTTAATTTTTCTTAAAATTTGTGGCATTTTCATGACCATTTTCTCAAAATGTTCTGCATTTTACCGGCCTGCAGCTAACGATGTTTTTCTGCTGCAGTCAGTAAAAGAAAATATTAAGTGCATTTGCAAAGCTAATCCACATCATCATCTGCATCTGCATCTGCATCAACATCAGCCTCATTTATTCCCTCAATTTGCATAGCAATTTGCTCGAGGAGAGGAAATATGGAAGGAAGTCGTCAGCAACAAGGGGTTAATGCTGCAAGGTGACTCATCTGAGATGCTAGCTGGCTCAGCGTTTCCTTCCATTTCGCCGCTACAAAGTAATTTCAGCAAAATGCGCTGCGTATCCTGAGCATCCTGTTCGTCCTGCTTTCGCACTAACAAAAGCCAAGTCCCCAGGCCCGGGACTCCTACAGCCTTTACTTTACTCTGCCATAAACAAATTGCACTTGTCTTGAAGGGGAAAGGGGAAGAGGGAGGCTGGCACAAATTGCATGAAGCATTTTAAATAATTAAGTAAATGATTAGGGAAGTGCAGCAGAGAACAGAAGCAAGGGCTAAGGCGTATTCCTTTTTTCAGCTGCCAGTGAATCTAATTTCATGTGTCTAATGTCGAGAATAATTCTTTCTTGCGCTTAAATAAATTAGGCAAAGTTCACACGTAAGGGCTGCATATAAGGAAACTGAAAAAAAAGAAAAGAACAGGAAATAAATTTAATTAATTTAATGTTACTATGTTACACCAAAAATCTGATCCGCTGTAATTAAGGTTTTAAAATAATTAAACTCGCCATTTTCTGTCTATAATTTATTTGGAATTTGCAGTCAAAAGCTGAACACAAAAATCGAAAACTTCTTTTTTTTCAAATTTTCTAAACGCGGTATTTTTTTTTTGTTCAGATCTAGGATCTAGTTGATAAATTTTTCGACAGTGCAATAAACGGAAAAATAAACATTCGGCAACACTAGACGAAGCCACTAAATAAGCGAGCTTTAGTCTGTTCCTCTTGTTGCTCAACTTGTGTGCAGCTGAAATTTATTGCACGCACACTCACCCGAACACCTGGCTGAAACATGTTCGCTGGCAGGACGTGAGGACCACGCCCCCGGCTCGGCTCATCCATCCCAGGAGTTCCGGCTACGTGTCTAATGGCTACAGATGTACTGCCATGTCTTCGTGTCCTGGCCGGGGCCATTTGTCAACCTTAAACTAAACTGCTGCCGTTCGAGGGTCTGCCACTTTGTTTGCTCTTGCTCTTGCTCTTGCGGTTTTTCCATCTTCTTTTCCCATTTGAGCAGCAAATTATTGCCAAACATTGCTCATACGCAGCGGTGGCCGCATTCGCCTAATTGAAAACCAAACGAACGGAATTTCAATGCAAACAACATTTTCATTTGTTTACACAGCGCTCTTGTCTCTTTCCGCCCTGATGTTCCCGTCTCGCTCCATATAACATTTACGATTCACTGAGTTGACAAATTTTCCGCTCTTGGATAAAAACACACACAGCAACAGCGGGAAAAATACTAGTCAGACATCAACAAAATGGCCAGAACAGCACAATCCTGGAACAAAAAAATAAAAAAAATGATATTCCACTATGAAACGGTATATCACTCTTATGCAGCATCATCATAATTCACGTTTAGTCTGGGGCGCACACACCCAAGGCAAATGGTTGATAAATGCTATATAAATTGAGCTGGAGTCGCTGCTCCCGGGTGAAAGTTACGCCACAAACTGGTATCTTTATGATATTTCGCTCGCAGTCTAGCATTTGTCGCTTCGCCATTAATTCTTATCGCAGATCTGGAGAAATGAAAGCACAACGCAGTAAAGTGTTTTGTTTGCTTAAATTTGTTTTTGATGCATATAAGAAGAATACAATTTGCTAACGGAAATACTTTTGTTTAAGTTGCATTTAAGCAAAATTGAAGAAAAGACATTAAAGTTTACTTTATGGAATATTATATTACAAAATTTCCTTAACTTGTTGATAGCACATTATGCTAAGTATGAAGTAATTTTAAAAAGTCCCAGAGGAGTGAGTTAAAGTTTTGTTTCCGTGAAGATTAAAATTGATGAGAAAATGTGGCACTTTATAAATAATGGACTATAATACTTTGATTGTCGTTTCTCCCAATATTCCTGGGCTGTGATTTTGCCTTTTTTTTGTGGCACGCTCCTCGTGCAGTTCAAATATTTTGCAACTGGCTTGCTGAGAGCAAACTCTTCACGTGGCACTCATAGTTCTCATGGTTGCCCCATCCATCTGCATGTTACATCACGGAGGCGGGGGAAAAGTGGATGCGGGCTGCTCCTCCGCTGACTGCGCATGAAAAATGGCGACGCTTATTAAACATGCTCGAATGGACGGCAACGCATCCTGATGACGAGGAGAGTGGCGCTGGTAGAGCTATAAACTGGTAGAAATTTATGCACCAGCGATGAGGTTTAAACTCTGCCATTTGATGTGCCACAAGCGGGGGGTTAATGTGGGAGTGGGGGAGTGGGTCGGATTTGTAAGAGCACCACTGCCACTAGCACTCATTAGTTTGTGCGTGTGTGTAATAAATTTAGAATAACAAGAGGTCCTCCGACAGTGGGTCAGGAAAAATCGGACAAAGGCAGCCAGACAAAGTCGTCGTCGTCGTCGTCGTCGTCTGGCCTCAATTACTTGTCTCTTTTAGCGGCTTTGGATGATGACGTGCTCCCGGGAACTCGGACCATGGGTTAAAGTTTTCACAGGCGCCACAATGTAAGCATATTATGGAAGTTTATGCTACAGACTGAGTTCCGATTTAGAGATGTCGACGCTTTTCAACTGAACAAGCCTTCACTTGAATAAAACTTTATTAAACTCAAAAATTAAGGATCTGGATTTGTTGTGTGCCTGTAGTAATACAATTACGTCTGTCTTTTCTTTATCTTGATTTAAATAGTAGTTTCTTGGCATCACTGTCCTAAAATTATCCTTTTCCATACTCATGAGCTGCTTTGCTGAAGTTACTTTTACCTTTGGTCTGGAGGCATTCTCTATTTGTTTAGCTCACATTCGACTCTGCGAGAAAGAGCCCCATTTTGCTATTTGTTTGTTGCTGTGTACTGCAGCCCCATTCATTACTGGATGCTGCAGAATTCTCCCGTGCTCTGTTTTGGTTTCCTTTTTGTGTTAATTGAGCTGCTCGGCTGGTGTTCTTGCTGCCTTTTCCGATGGCCACAAGCTGAAAAGTAAATTAACACGGAAAAAAGGGAGCCTGAAACACGAGCAGCCACCTGACTGTACCATAAACGCTGTGTATACGCTATATGCTATATGCGCTTTATGTGTGAATGGAATTTACACAGGAGTAGTGGCAGGTGGAGGGGTGGGGGAACCACCGTCTGCGGTGGTTCTACATGAGATGGGGGATTCAAAGGGAAAAGCCAAGCGAAACAACACGCGAGCAATTAAAATGCTCGACAACAAATTGCTATCAGGTACTCAAAATTCAAAAGAGAAGAGACAGCACTACTGCCAAAGAAAGAGATGAAAGCGTTAAGGGTGAGCGAGACGGAAGGAAT